TAAAGAAAAAGATAAAAACTAATACAAACTAACATAAAGTAAGGAGGAACTCAAAGGAAAAACAAGAAAAAATTGAAGAAAAATAGAAAAGAAAGAAAAAAGATATAAAGAAGTAGCTTCCAATATTCTTCACAGCAGTTACATGTACAAATATATTTTAACCTCCCTCTCTAAAGTTACATCGTATTACTCTTCTTTCTATAATCTATCCTAACTAATCATCAAAACCATAAATCCACAAGTTCCTTTTTTTCCATTTTTACACAAAAAGTCCATAAGAGCATCCAGTCACCAATAAACGTAGAAAATGTCTTCTCTCTAATCAAGAAGTCAATTTATCCATTTCAGCAAAATCTGTCAACTTTACCAACTATTCCTCCATAGCAGGTATTGTCAAAACTTTCCATCTCTGTGCATATAGTAATCTCGCCTCATGTATGGAAATAATCTTCCATGGGAGCCTGTCTAAAGATCTTAATGCCTACCCATTACGTTCTTCATAAGACAGGCAGTCCTCAAATAGCTGCTTATGGCTTTAAAGGCAAACACCAACATGAATCTCTAAGAAAAGCTGGTTTCTACCTAGAGTGAACAATTTGAAATCTTCAGCTGATGGATTTTTTTTCCTGATATTTATTCACTTATTTATTTAACTTGGTGTGCTGCTGACTACCAGTGCCAATTTTACCATTAAAAAATAAATTTAAAATTGAGATGCTAAAAATGGTTAAAATGCCATTTCAACAAGCAGGTGAAAATAATTGAGATTACTGAGTATTTATATTATTAAAGCCTACAGAAAAAAATGTGTTTTAAGGGATTTTTTTAAAAGCTAATAAAGATATCAGGCCCCTCCACTCTGCAGAAAATGCGTTCCAAAAGTATGCAAAGGCTCAATCCTGAATTGCCTCCAGAAGAATTTTAAAAGCAGCTATATATGAATCTCCTTAGATGTTCACAAGACACATGGAGGTGTGTATGGAATGAGGCTTTCTCTCAAATAGCCTGCACCATGTAGGGCTTTAAAGGTACATAGCACTATTTTTTTTTCCTGGAAAGAAATCAGTTACTAGTGCAGTGCTTTAAGCATAAGGGTAATACAGTCTCGTCAAGTTCTTCTCTAGAGACCAACCTGGATGCTACACTTTTTACCAGCTGAAGTTTCTGGACCAGACAAAAGGCAGCCCCATGTAGAACACATTACTATAGTTGAGTGTGAAGGTTACCAGCACACGCACCACATATTTAAGGCCATTATCTTTCAGAAATGGACTCAGCTGACATATCAGCAAAAGTTGGTAAAAAGGCACTCCAGGTCATTTCTTAAATCTGTGAAGATCAAGATAGGTTTGGTCCAGAAGCTTGCCTCTAAATTGTGATGTGCTCCTGAACACACATATTTACCATGACTTTGGAAGTCTGGCCAATGAGCACCTCCATCTTGTCTGGATTTTATGTCAATGTGTTAACCCTCTTCCAATTCATTACTGACTTCAGGCAGACATTGAGGGAAAGTATACCATTTCCCAAAAATGTCACAGAGAAATACATTTGGGTATTCAATACATCAGCATACTGACAGTGCCCAGCAAAAAATCAGATAATTTCCCCCATCATTTTCATGTAGATATTGAAAAACACAGGTGACAGACAGTCCTGAGGAACACTATGTAACAGTTCTTGCTTCAAGAATTGATACCATCTGAAATCTGCCTGACAGATAGGAATGGAAACCTATACAACCATGCCTTCTATTCCCAAATCTTCTCTAGTGATCTAGAAGGATTCCTTCAGATTCTTCTCCTTATAATCTAGACTGGTAACAGTTAATCCATGGCACAAGAATCTAAGAACTCTGATTAGTTGTATTTATTAGGAGGTAGGTTAAGATCACAGCACAAGAATTCTAGTGAGTACTTTCACACACATATATATCAACAGCCTATGGCAACTCTTGCCCATTTCTTCAAGCTTTTTTATACAAAAGGGAGGAGACTTGCCTCTTCTGTGAAGGTGAGGTGATCTTTGCCTATTTTTTTTTTGTTTTTTTTTTAGTATTCCTTTTTATCAGTATCAGCATGAGAAATAACTCTCACAGTTACCCATGTTCAATAGTATTGAAAGCCACTAAGCAATCCAGGAGAATCAAGAAAGTCACACACCCTCTGTCAGTCTTCAAACAAAGATCATTCTTCAGGTCAACCAAGGTCATCTCAGCCCCATCGCTCAACCTGAAATGGGTCAAGAAAATTTGTTTCCTGCAGGGCTGCCTGCAGGTAAGAAGCAGCCACCATCCCCTTAAATAACCATAGAAGGCTTGAGCCTGGTCTATAATTCCTTATCTCCAAGGTATCCAGAGCAGACTCCTTAGAAGAGATCTAGGAATTGCATCCTTTAAACAAGGAGCCAACCTTCCCTCCCTCAGAGGGCCATTTATCATAACTAAGACATCTCTAATATGCTCCCAGTTAGAAGTGACAAGGCAAGGTATCACTCATTGAAACTGATATATTCTAACAATACAAGACAAGTTATTAAATATCCTCAAGGTTGACTGTACATCCAGATGGGCCAAAATATTCTTGTTCCCAAGTCTGAGATAAACACATTCAATGTTTATCAGTCTTCTCAAGTATCTGAGTAAGGGAGATAAGTTCTTACAGATCACAACTACTCCATGTCCCTGCCTGCTTCCCCTATAGTACAGAGCCTGCAGCTGGGAGAAGCTAGATCCACACCAGCCCACCTGCCTTCTCCAGCCAAGTCATCCATGATCAAACTCTGGATGATCTGTTTTATTTTGCACTGCATTACACAGGAGGAAGAACCAGGTTCTTTGAAGGGCTAGAAACTTTCTACGAGCCTTAAAAGCTGACATGGCCACCAGAAGGCAAAATAGCCCTTAAAGTTCTAACCTCTCTTTCCCAATAATGATTTGACAGCCTTCCAATATTGATCTGCTATTCCCCACCACTACTGTGATTGCTGCCACAGGTCCCTGTGCCCCCTCCCCAACACACTTTAGCAAGTCACTTAAATATCATAATTGGTCTTTATTTTTTTTGTTGTGCACCATCCAAAGTCTTGCAATTTGGACAATATACAAAATTGTAAAATAAACAAATCATGCATGGGTGTATGAGTGGAGGGAATCCTTCAGATAAATCCCTGAACTGTCCTTTGCAACTTTTGCTACCTAATAACCGATAACTATGTATATAGAGCTGGTTGAAATGACATGTTTAAAAATAAATAAAATAATCAGCCTTACTTCCAGCTGTGTTCTGATTATCTGGAAAGCAACAGGGAGGTTTTTAACTATAATTTTGTTGCAAGTGCTCCAGAAACCAAGAATAAGCTGCATGCTGAGGTGATGGAAACTGAGTGGCTTAAACAATTTTCAGGGAATTTAAAATGCAAGTTCTCTTTTAATGTAGCTTACTGTCCATGAAAGCTTTCTGTCATGTTTCACAATGTGGAAGGAAATATTGTAAAAGCCTGTTATGCTCACAAAAAGACAACTTGCAATTAGGAACTAAGATTTTACTATTTTAGATGCTAAGGTATGACTGTGAGTGGCTTACATGCTTATTGAGTCAGGACCAGGGACAGCAACATATTCAAGCATAAGCCCTATGTTTTGTCCGTGAAACGTCCGGTATTAACAGGATCAGTTGTGCGGTTAAGTAATTTTATACTTTCTACCTATGGTGGGAGAAGGGGGTGCATCTTATATAACATGCATTCACTTCAAAATGTGCTGAGCAAACCCCATGATTCTCATATTTAACCTTTTAGCTTAGAAACAATAGCTAGAGTAATATCTCTCAATGTAAATGGAACATATCAGCATCACAATTATATCCTTCCAGTTTTGTTGCTACAGAATTTCACTCAGGACTTCCTAGATTTTTTTCCTATTTCTTTTCTCTAGAGTCACTCCACATACACTTTCTTATACTGATAACACTTCACATAACTTAATATACTGATCACTGCATGCTTTCATGGTGCTTTGGGTGGTGATATATAGTGGTTCTTCTGCCTGACAGACACAATTCTCACACTCCCATGTCTTAGGTACCAGTTGGTTGTGCAAAATAACATGGCTTCTTATACTTCTCATCTTGTGGTGGTTTAGAAAGATGCCATTTGGAGATCCTTCCACTGACATCTAATTTAGAAAGAAATGGGATAGATTAGATCCTTGAAAAGATACTGTACAGATCAGACTAAATGAGTCTCCGGAAAGTACTGTCGACCCTTCTATTTTTTCTCATGAAACTATAACCATGTTTTAGAAACAGAGACCAAAAGGTGCAAAATGAATTTTTCAGTCACATTGAAACACCTTGGAAAGAGCATAAATTGTTTGCAGAGGTTTAACTTATTTCTCTACCCCAACCCTTGTTACAGGTGCCACCATAAGTGTAATCATTGACGTCAGCATCAATATTTCAGTTATTATTTCTGCATCCATTGCAATTCTGTATACATTAGTGGGAGGACTTTATTCAGTTGCTTATACTGATGTGGTCCAGCTGTTCTGCATTTTCATAGGACTGGTGAGTTTTATCTTTATTTTCCATATGTAATACCAAGGTGATTGTATTCTGTACCAAACAGAGGAAGAAGGTGCTTCATTTCAACACAGATTACAAGAACATGCTGACTAATGTGTGGGGAAAAGGGAATATTAGGGATTTTTCTCTATATTCCCCTTGTCTTAACCATTGTTATGGAATAAGTCAGCACCACCCGTAATTGTGATTTATATTAACTAGGGATCAAATTTAAACATGGCTTGAAATCAACTTAAAATTATAACTTCAAAACCTGGCTACATAGGAACTCTGATTAGCACATTTGGCAATTGCTGATGAATTGCAAGATTGCAGATAGTAAGAGAAGTTAATCTGCACCCAAGAGAAGAGGAGATGAGAAATGGCCAGGAAGGATGATGGCATAACTGGTTCTTGATTTGCCAGTGCCTTTGAATGCCTGAGGTATCCATGTTTCAAGGACAGAATCTGACTGGACTGGCAGTTGAATCCTTCAGTTCTGGCCACCAAATGTTTTCTGAGGGCACCATCTTTACTTAGAGGGTACAGGGCAGGCTATGTGATCTCTCAGCTCTGTTCTCCAAACCTGACTACTGCTGCTCCCTCTCTCCTTCCCTCCACTGTGCACGCATTTTAACACAGGGAGGGAATGCTTTCATTTAGCTCAAGGGCAGAATTCCCTCCCTTCTACTCGGTTTTATCCAGATTCTGTCAGTAGGAAAGACTGAAGAGAAAAGCTGAAGCCCTCAGTTAAACTCTGCTCACTCCAGTAGAACTCACTCTCAGTCTTGCCTCTCTCTGTGCACACCGAGGCAAACAAGTATTTTTTTTCCCCCAAAGAGAAAAGCTGTCCTCCTTCAATACAGAAGAAGGCATCGTAATTAGTCCTTGTCTTCTGGATAGAGAAAACATTACCTTTGTCTGTGAAAATATTTGCAAAGCAATATTGTTCTCTACCTACTTTTGCACAAAAAAAGGCAAAGATCCCTATCTGAGAATGTACCCCCCCCATAAAATAAACTTTTATGAAGTATGTTGGGTAAATTGACACATTTTATTTCTCTATATCTTCCATTTTCTCTAGTTAATCCCTTCTCTCCCTCAGTTTCCCTTCCCTATGCTACAAAAAGCCTGCATCTCTAAACACACTATCTTAACCTTGTGGTTATCTGTTGCCTTGTGGATCAGATTTAAAGCAAGATTGACCACAAGTTTAAGAAGGCCTTCCAATAATAATCTCAGATAGGTCAACATCCACTTAGTGTCCATGTGCAGTAGCACTAATGCTGCATGCTGCCGTTATACCCTGCCAAAGACACTTAATTGCAAACTTTTACTTATTATGCTCCTTAAAAGACTTGCCCAGCCACATCGATAAGTGCAATGCAATAGGGACTGTGTGTGTGAGAGAGAGTGTATGTGGACAGTACCATTGCTTTCACGTGTACTGCCTTGCAGCCAGTACCTCACACGCTGCTTCCTTTTCATTCCATAGTTCCAAGATGCCTGTACACACACACATATACACAACCATATACTATTATGAAACTGGAGCCCAGTCCTCTGCATAAATAGGTTGAGCTGGGTTCACTAGTGCTTATTACCAAATAAACACAGCTAGGAGCTCCCAGTCCCAAGAACCAGGATGGATTTGCTGAATGTGTTCTGTGCTTTCTAGCATTGTGTATTACCTTTTAAGTAGGAGGATATACTGTAGTTTCAAACATTTTATTCCTAAAACAGCATTTTCTTTTCTCTGAACCAATTCATTTCCCCTGGTAGAAGTGAATTCAAAATGGAACTCTCCTCCAAAATATGATAATGCTAGCAATATGTTTTCAAGTAAATAATTTCACTTGCCTAAAATTTGTGCCAAATGGTTAAAGGAAACCCAATTAAATAGAAAAGGCTTGTTTAGGTTTTAGGGTCCCTAACACTTTTCTATTCTCCCACCATCAGACACACACATGGTAAAATCAGAGAGAGGACCTTCTGCTCCCAATTCTGCAACTTCCTGCCAAGGAAGATCACTCTAGTTCCATGCCTGTTGTCTTTCAACCCCAAATACTTTTTTTAAAAAAATTAGATAACGTTTCTGGTATGTAATCCCACTTGTGTGAAGGAGAAGGTTGCAGCTGCTGGGTTCAAGGTGTTTATTTTCTCTGGATGTGTTTCATTTCATGCATTTATAATTGGTACATTTTAATCTTTGAATGATCACATTTGCAGTTTATTGTTAGCAACCTTGACTGATAAATTTGGTAGAAAGATGAGAAGAAAGGTAAATGAAACCACTTCTGTATTTTCTTGCCTGCAAAAATGTTTTGCAGTTGAAAAATGGCAAAAGAAAAAGATAACAGCAAGAAATATTTATGCCATTCTTTTATTATTTGCTTCATTTTTTTTATAGTGGATCAGCGTCCCATTTGCCTTGTCCCATCCTGCAGTAACAGACATTGGGTACACAGCTGTGAATGAAGTATACCAAAAACCCTGGCTTGGAACCATTCAATCAGCTGACATATACACATGGATTGACAGTTTCCTCTTACTGGTGAGCATTTTTGTGAAAGGGTACAAACCACTCAAGGTTTATTTTCCAAACTCTTAAACTGCAAATGGTTTAAGCCATGGAGAGCCAACCTGGACCCCTCCAGATGTTTTGGACATCAGCTGCTATCAGCTCCAACCAGCAAGGAATTGTGGTGGTTGTAATCCAAAATGATTGAACTGTACAAGTTGTCTGCCCTAGGCTAAGCAAAATAAGTGTGAACAACTGCACAAATAACCTTTTAAATCTAACTGTATGCTGAAGATATGCCATTACAGTCATATGACACTGTGAAAAAGCAGATGACCTCTCTGTTATAAGGGACTTAGGAACACTTCCTAGGAATTGGGGGTGATAGGATTCAGTAGATCTGCAAGAGAAGGATCATTGCATGGATACATATTTAAAGGATGGGATGAATGTACTTAGAAAAGAATACTTGCAGTGGGCAGATACATTAATCTCTGGGTTATAGAGCAGGACAGAAATGTGTGAGGGAGCAGTGTGAGACTGGCTTAATATACAGAATTCCCAGTACAATTTCTGTGACATCATATCTGAAGTCCTTGTGCAAAATTAAACAGAAAGATGGTGTGTAAGCAATTGGTCTAGACTGTTAATGCCAGAGAATATTTAAAACCAAACCAGTTTCTCTGTGGATAAACAGCTTAACACAACTGCTTCTACACACAGTTATTTCTTGAGATTTGTCAAACTTGTCACTGGAGATCCCTCTCTGGAACTGTTTTCTGCCCTGAAGGAAAGCAACTAGAGCAGGGTTTCTCAACCTCAACAACTTTAAAGATGTGTCAGCTTCAACTCCCAGAATTCGGGGAATAGAGGTCCACACATCTTAAAGTTGCTGAAGTTCAGAAACACTGAACTAGAGGCAAGCCAAGGGTAAATGATCATGGCAAAAATGTGCAGCAACATTCTTTTCTCCTGCTGCTTTCTGGAAATGTAACCCAAAGAATAATGGGGTTTGGGGGAAAGTCTAGCTTAAAGGGGACAACATTCTGGCTTAGCTTAAATGTCATGTCCCATACTTTGGTTAGGGAGGAAATGCTTACAAGGTTTAAAGCACTGTTTCCCTGCTGAAGGTGGAGTTGCTAGGCAAATAGGTTTGACAAAGGAGCATGTTGGCTAAATGTGTTTTTGCTTGGACTCAAGTGAGCCTCTCTTTACCAGGAATGAATGATTGCAGTATTGTTTATGGTTATTTGCAGATGTTAGGAGGAATCCCATGGCAAGCCTATTTCCAACGAGTCCTTTCTTCTTCATCAGCTATGTATGCGCAAATGCTCTCTTTTCTGGCAGCTTTTGGGTGTCTTGTGATGGCAATACCTTCGGTACTCATTGGTGCCATCGGTGCATCAACAGGTACATTGACCAAGCTTCCAATTTGCTGTTATTTTAAAAAGCAGCAACCATAGAGCAAGAGACAGCAATGGCCACCCTTGGATACCCCTATTTTTTTTTCTTCAATCTGTTTCTTAATTTGGGGTTTTATCCTTGCCCTGAATCAAAAGAATAAAAAGCAATAAAGAAAAGGAGAAAGAAATGAGATATTCTTTAATTTGTATACAGCTGCATGTACTGTCTTCAAAGTGGGAGATGTAGTTTTTTCCTCTAAATCAGTGTTTCTCAAGCTTGGCAACTTTAAGGGTGTGGACTTCAGCTCCCAGAATTCCCCAGCCAGCAAATTTGTCCTTATTTTGTACTAATGAGAGGTCAGATTAAAAGCCTTTTAAGGGATTGGTGGCCCTAGTATTGCATGTTTTGTGTCTGCGTATGTGTAAATGATTAAAAATTTTTCTGGCCTTATTGCCTAGTAAAAAAATTAATGGGTCTGAAGACTCAAGAAATGGGCCTTTACACATTTTGGAAACTAATTTCTAACGATAGATGAACGGCCAGAATAGAGGGCTGTTTACCTCAGAGTTGTAGCAACCTTACAATGTTTGTAATACATGAATACTATTTTTCCATTATGGTGTAGTTCCCAATAGTATTAAAACAATCGTGCTGTCCAAAACAGTTTCATAGAACCATAGAATCCAGTTTGGAAGAGCCATTTAGACAACTTATTTCAACCACGAGCTCAGTGTGAGAATCCAAATTAAAGCATTCTTGACAGATCACTTTGTAGCTCTGCTGAGGCAAGTGCAGGAAAAGAGAGGTTATCATTGCACTTCATTCCACCATTGAACTGCTCTTGCTGCTACTCTTATCCTTCAACCAAAATCTGCCTGGGGAATTCTGGGAATTGAAGTCCAGACATCTTAAAGTTGCTAAGGATGAGAAGCACTGCTCTAAATAATTACCTGTGAAAGGGGGTGGGGCAGGTGCTGAGCAAATGAGTGGGTGGAGCTGCAGATGGTAGCAGACATGGCACTGTAAAGCACAAATGCCTTTGATTAGCTTATAAATTAACTATTTCTTGGGAGGAGCTAAATGCCTGGTTAATTTCACCTCTCTCTTTCTTTTCTTATACAGTGAGCTGGTCCTATCCTCTCAGTATCCAATTTTGTTTCCTGTTACTCTTTCCATCTCAATATACTATCTCCCCTCATCCTATCTCCATCCTTCCCCCCCCCCGCTTTGTTGCTATTTCTGGTGGAAGTGGGGAAGGGAAAATGAATATGAATATATATCCATTCTTGTGTGTTTGTATGTGTGTTCTTGCATGAGAAGAGAATACTGGGTGTGTGCAGATGACGAACAATTAATTTGATGATTAATATAATCAGGGTACCTTGTTTTATAGGCAATTGCAATTGAGTCATTGCATTTTATACATCTTCAAATAGAAGTACACAGGAACCATGGGAAAATTTCTGCAGACACTGATGGGAATTAATCTGTACCATCCTTCCCTCATTCCAATCTCAAGGAAACCCTGTTCAAAACTACCTTTTGCCCTGTGAGGGAGGCTATGTTAGAATCCAATAAATGGCTTTTATTGGAAGCATGATGCAAGCCAAGAGACTAACCTTCCTCCTTGCACAATGCAGTCTGGATCCTAAATTCCTCTTGAGTTTATGCTATTTAAATTTTAATTGTACACTTAATGTATAATTTGACCCTTATGAATTCAAATTAAACCTAGCTCAACCTGAAGCCTTTTAAAGTCTACTAGATTTCACCTCTGTAAATTTGGCATAATACTAGCATGCAGCCAAGATTAGCATGTAAACCATGAATAAAAAGCTGGTGTAGACATATTTTGTAACATAGTATATGACTGTGAATGTTGGGGTAGACCACAGAATCCAGCAATTCAGTCCAGCTTTTTGTTTTTTAAAAAGCACATTTTTAGCTGTTAACGCTTGATTTCTTTTTTCAGGTTCAGATCTACCTACTAGTAATTAATGTATGTTTATATTACAGCTTGGAATAAGACTAATTATGAGGGCCAAGACCCCAAGCTTCAAAAGAAAGCCGACATGATATTACCAATTGTTCTTCAATATCTTTGTCCAGTGTACATTTCGTTCCTTGGCCTTGGGGCAGTGTCTGCTGCTGTTATGTCCTCTGCTGACTCTTCCATTTTATCAGCAAGTTCTATGTTTGTACGGAATATATACCAGCTTTCATTTCGACAAAGTGTAAGACTATATTATAAACACAGTATCATTGTGTAATATCACAGGAGCTGTAGTTGACAGCTGATGATATTTTACCATATATAGGAATGAAAGAGTACCATGAACCTTTATGTGTTCAGTCTGTGGCAGTCATTGAGAAATGGGTAATTCTGTTCACTCGCTTCTAATGTTCTCAAACCTTTGGTTGTTCTAGAGGCAAAAGTTTTCCAGAGTTTTTATCTGCAAAGTTTAAAGGGAAGAAGTAATCCTGTATCTTATCTTATACACAAGTGCTTGAATATTGTGAGTGAAGATTTTCTGGATCATATTAAGTTAGCTACTGAAGATGAACTGCAATCCTATCTCTTAAAATTGAGTTAGTGATTTATATAGTCAGATCATTTCAGTGAACTCTCAGTGTAACTTTCACAATGAAAACTGTGAGATAGATAGGCTCTAAAGAAGTAGCCTTCTCCTAGTAACTTACTTTATTCAATTATGAATAACTGAGTGGACAACTATGAATAAAGTGTAACATACCCAGGTGTTTAAAGAGAATGAATAATATAGGAATTTAAATTTATTTTAGCTTTATGACCAAGGAAAAAATTGCAAAGTGGAAACTTTTCCATAGCTGGATAACTTGCACTAAATGCAGTGTTGCCTATTTATGAAGATACAGCATGGTGCAGAATTTTAAAAGTGCCTTTCTGGCCTGAATGCAGCTGAAAATGATTATCCTGCATGTGTTCAAAGAAGTTTCCAGCGATTTGGATTTTCTTCTGCTGACCACATTCACAATCAGAAGTAGCATAGAGATAATCTTTCCAACAGCTGACATGCCGAAACAGTTATATATAACGTTCTCCTTCCAGATTGTACAAACAGAGAATATTTTAGTATTAGGTATGTTTGCTATCTTCAGTTATATATAAAAAGGCAGGAAATCATCATCATCATCAATAATAATTTTTTAAAAAAACCAAATCCAATCTAAACATCTCGCTGACTCTGGGATCAGCCATAATAATGATACTATTTTCCTATCTTTCAGGGGAAATTCCCTTTATGCAAATATGCCAGAATTGTGAGGGGAAGGGCATTATATAACCCAGTACATTAAATAATTGTTCCCATTAGCAGATGCATCTTATATGTCTAAGATTCTCTAGGTGCTGATCATATCAGTTTGTTTATGAGCCATAAATATTCTAATTAACAAGAAGATTCTTTTTATCATCTTGAGTCCATATAATTCTTTTTGATGCCTATGTAATATATAAATATCTGTAGTAGAAAGCAAAATGAAAATGTTTCTATATTTTACAGGCTTCAGACAACGAAATAGTTTGGGTCATGCGAATTACCATTTTTGTGTTTGGAGCTTCAGCAACAATGATGGCTCTGGTAGCAAAATCCATTTATGGTCTCTGGTACCTCAGCTCTGATCTGGTTTACATCATCATCTTCCCCCAACTTTTATGTGTTCTTTTTATCAAGGGAACAAATACCTATGGTGCCATTGCAGGATATTTGTTTGGGTTCATACTTCGAATTACTGGAGGAGAACCTTATCTATCCTTGCAACCTTTGATTCTCTACCCTGGTTGGTATCAAGATGATGACTTATATGTTCAGAGATTTCCTTTTAAGACATTAGCTATGCTTACCTCCTTCTTTACAAACATTGCAGTGTCCTATCTAGCAAAATACTTATTTGAAAGTGGCACTTTACCGCCCAAACTAGACTTCCTTGATGCTGTTGTTGCAAAGTACAGTAAGGAGAACATGGACAAGGCTACTCTTGTGAAAAGTGACAATATTGTTCTAAATGAACTGGCACCAGTGAACCCTCGACACAGTTTGACTCTGAGCTCTACTTTCACAAATAAAGAGGCCTTCAGTGATACGGATTCAAGTCCAGAGGTATCCACTGCAGAGGGGAATTGACAACAACCCAGATGAAGAGAAATACTGCTTTTGCCTCACCCACAGTGCAACAGGGTATGCTGCCATGGGAAATTAAAGGTAGTTTGGGAAGAAATGGATGGAGACCAAAAAACAAACAAACTACCATGCAGCTCTTTTAGTTTGTTTCTGGAAACAGGAACAGTCTGGAATAAACTCTTATATAGTATTATCAAAACATGTTGGGTGGAATTATAGAGTATCTCACTCCACCAGTATTTGAATGAAGGCTGCAGAGGAGATATGGTTATTGCCCAAAAAAAAAAAAAAAAAGGAAATGCAACGTTTAGAAAAGAGACATTGGTTTCTTTAAAATTTATAGCACTGATTTGCACACATAGAAGTAATTTGCAAATTCAGAATCCCTGTTCTCCTAGCTCCCCTCCATCCTCTAACTGAATTGGATCCCCAGCTTTTATTTTGCGCATCCTGGAGCAAGATTGTACCGCTGAATGTTAACTTCAAATCATAAACATTTAGTAGTGCAGTTTTCTTGGGGTTTTTAGAAATAACAAACC